TATATATATATATTTTTTTTTCTAGCATCGCAAATGTACATGAAAATATAATTATATTAAATTTAACATACGTGTTGTATAGCAATATACGTATAATAATATACGGATAATTATTAATATCTATAATTACTAATGTGCATTAACGTGTCAAAACTAAAAATTATACTAGCTTTTTTCAAAATGTATATTCTATTCTATTCTATTTAGGTGAAGTCATCATGGGCTGGATATTATGAATATAATACTTTTGATGAAAATGGTATTATCGGCCAGCATCCTTTTCATCATAATGTATTCATAGCTACTGGTTTTAGCGGACACGGTATCCAAAAGGCACCTGCAGTAGGACGTGCGATCTCGGAGTTGATCTTAAACGAACGTTTCCTGACTATAGATTTGACAAAACTAAGTTTTAATAGATTTTTCAATTCAGAACCTATAAGAGAGATCAACGTTTTTTAGCTTATCAAAAATAATTTTTTTGTATTTATTTGTATCATGAGTATGTAAATTTGTAAATAGAATTCTAACTTAAAAAGGATCTTTTTAAGAAAAAATATATGAACATAATAAAAATCTCATTCAAATATAATAACAATTTCACTTGTATAATGCAGTTTAATTTAAAATATATAAATAAACTGTACATGCACACACACACTCATACATACTCACGGAACAATCACATATTTGTTTTAAAAATATATGAATCATGTTTTATGTAAAATCTGGCTCATATATGCTGTGGCATCTTCTTCGCCTATATTCTGTAATATATTTCGCAATTCAATGAGAGATGTATTGGTTTGTATCTATAAAAAATAAAGATTTCATTTAACATGTAAGTGAATGCGCATTTCTTCGAAAAAGACTTATGCACGAAATATTCAACAAAAAAAGAATCTTACGGCGATGTAATTCAAGAGGAGCAACGTTGAACTGGTCGAGCTCTGTTCGAAAGTGTTCAATAAGTATTGAAAGTTAAAATGACGCGCTAATTTTTTCCATCCTTTGGTTTCATCTAAAATACTTGCTAATTGTTTCTCCTGACTTGCATCCATCCAAATTTTTTGTGTGTCGTCTATATTTTCTTCTTTACATTTAATTTCGCCCATTAACACATCATTTTGATCAGAGACGAGCCGCAAGATCTGTAACAACACAATCTTTCTTGATTGATAAATATGTGTATATCTTATAATAGCAAATTATATAATATTTTGTGTACATCTGGTTTATTTGAAGCCAAGTCAAAAGATGATTCCCCGGTACATTCCTCCATGTTTTCATCTTCCGAATGTACTTCAGTTTTTATATCTTGAATTTGTTCTCCTTCAATCTATACACACATATCACAATAATAAGGTCAAATTTAATGATTAAACTAATTGGAAAGGCCAATAAACGAACAAAATTGAGAAAAATTATAAAAAAAATATATGTTTACATGACAAAATAAGAAGAGTAATGAAGATCAATTTATTAGTCTTCTAGGATCGAATTCGCCGAGTAGTTGCTCTCTTTGTTCTGTTATTTGTAATTTATCTCGACTATCTATTACATTATATTGTTTAATAACAATCATTTAAATATATAAAGTATTGTTTATAAGAAATTAAACACGTACGATAGATGAATCACGATTATAATTCCTTATATATGGGTCGGCGCCGTGTTCTAGTAAAAGGGCACATATTTCTTTAGCTATCGTCCCTGGTATAACCACTGCGGTATGCAAAGCCGTATTCCCGCTAAAGTTCCTTTTGTTTACATCTATCTTGGTCTGTTTGCAGAATGAAGCATATTATATATATTGAAGTATAATATCATTTTTCGTGTGGAAAAAAGTGCATTTTTATAGTTATTTAAGCTTACATTTTTTAATAGAAATTTGACGATATCTTTGTGGCCGCCTTCAACTGCTATATGTAATGCAGTCCTCCCATAGGACATATCAGTGCTATTTACATCTGCACCAGCTTTGACGAGAGAACATATCGCATGATAATTACCAGCTTTAGCAGCTAATAACAAGGGTGACCATCCTAAATCCGTATTTGCTTCGATGTTGATTTCTTTTTCAGCTAATAAAATGTCAACACTATCTTTCGCTTCTGGAACTAAAATTACACCTCTATGTAAAATTATATATTACAGCTATATATTGCATTCTATTTCTATTTGTAAATTGAGATGTTTTGATGGTTATTAATTTTATTGCATTTTTTTTAAAGCATGTTCAACGTCATGTACAACGTTTAAAACATTTTGAAATTAAGGCTTACATTTTACAGCTTTGTGCAATGGCATTTGTCCATAATGATCCGTTATGTTTGGATCCGCCCCAAGTATGAGTAATGCTTTTGTAACTTCCGGTTGATCTTGCGAAGCAGCATAATGCAATGGACTCTACAACATAATGATATTTTAAAATGTTTATATTTGTTAAGTGAAATATACTAGTATCGATAGAACTCACTTTTCCGGAACTATTTCGAATATTCACCAGTTCTTCAGCATCTCTATTCAGGATGCTCATAAGTATTAAGATATGTCTTATAATGTCTTTTTGTCCATATCGGAGCGCACAGTGCAGTGGCGAATCTCCATAAGTTGTTCTGTCTTTGAATGCTTTTATTATGATTTCTTTGTCTTTACTTTTTGATCCTATTTTGATGTTCTTTATCGTATCAATAATAACATCCTTTGCAAATGATTTGTCATCCTATAAAAATTTAAAATTAATTACAACATTGATGCAACAATAGGGTATATTTATGGTGAATTTATTTCATAAATCACATATATTGAAATTAATACTTGCCTTTTTACTCGATACACCATCGTAAGTTAGTTTATTTTCTTCGCTACTTTGATATATTAATTGTTCATATACTACAAAATTTAATTTATATTAAATAAAATACACATACATTGTACTTTAAAACCATTATTTGTACAAAAAACACTTACCATCTAAATTTATGTGTTCGATAAATTCGCGAAATTCATTAGAAGGGCATCTATCATCCAACATCTTTTTTATCTCTTTAGAAATCTCAGTGCTATCGTTGCTCTCTCTCTCTCTCGGATACATATTTGTTACTGGCGTATTCACTAATGGCACATTATTACATGCCATGTGTGCCAATTCCGCGCTATTTGAATGAGAAATTCGTGTTCTTTTTCTACCTAGATTTACAAAATTGTAAATAATTATTAAAGAATGCACATAAGAGAGACAAAAAAAGAAAAAAGAGAAAAAAAAGAGAATAACCAAGTGTGATTAAATTGTCAATATATTTAATTATTATTCACCTATCATGCGATCGCTTGGCTTATATGTGAATTTGATTGGTTCTGAACAACCCGAATCTGAAGGACGTTCTAGTTGTATAAACACTTCTTTCGGAGAAGTGATATTTCGATCTCTGTATGGTGGAGTCCTAGAAATACAGCATAATTAATCATGTCTGTCACAAAAGAAAGAAGATATTTAATATAAATACATACCGAAATACCATGGCGTATTGATGATGAACATCAAGTTCTGAGAAACGGCCATAATCTATCCAGATTTCAGTGTCATCTTCGTCGAGTTCAAAGAATTTTATCTTTATGTTTTCTATGACATAATATATTTTTTACATCAATATGTTGTTATTGCAGGTGAATGCTAATTCAATAATATTACACTTACTTTTTGAAACTTTCTCCACAAGTATGAATACTTCTTCGCCACCTTCACAGCTGCTAGTAAATTTGTCAATCCTGCATATCTTAAGTTCTCCAGTTAACGCACTTTCTATTAAAATACATACATATTAACATTAAAGTTTCTTTAGTTATTTTCATTTATATGTAATATATATGTAATATACTGTAATGTATATATATATATATATATATATATATATATATATATATATATATATATATATATATATATATATATATATAAAACCTTTAAAAATTCAAATTTTTAATATGGTTCTTTGAAAAAGAACATCTTATAGAAATAAATAAATCATTAACTCACTCAGATTATTGATTGGATTGCTATAGATTGGCGCTGTAATTGGTCTCATAATATTATGTTCATCTTTAATGAACCCTTGAAAACAAAGGGCAACACTGTTTAAATTTATAATTTTTTGATACTGCTCTGCATCAGCTTTAATCTATAATCATTGCAAAATGCTTTTTAAAAAGTACATTTTATTATCATTTAATTTAGAACTACAAATCCACAAAATGATCTTCAAGATGATAAAAATATAGATATCTACCTGTGCTTCTTCACGAAAACTAAGATTGGCGTTTATATTTGAACGTTTGCGTTCCTCTAGAGCCTCCTCACGCAGTTTTCGTACTATTTCATCCTTGACATTTCTTCTTGCCGTATGAATTATGCCCATACCACTGAATCTGAAATAAAAGTATGTATAATGCCGACTGATAAATAAAATAGATTAGCGATTAAATTATCCATTTAAAATTACACTATGCATTAAACGTACTCAGCTGTAAAATCATTATGAGGTGAAACTTCTATATAATGTGGTTCCCCTGAATCCGCGCAACCCTCTCGCTTCACCAATTTATGAGCATGTGGTATTCTGAGTTCTTCATCAGTCGTAACTAATGTGCAGCGTATTATCGCATTATCCAAAAAATTATTTAACTAAAAAAGTATGAACAATAGTAATATTATATACGGAAAGACTAGAATTTAAATAATTCCATACTAATTTGAATAATTCTCTTTATATTCAGAATTCAGCATACTTACTTTGACTGTAGGTACATTACTTTTATGTCGTTTACGTCCATTCAATATACCTAACAGACTCCCGTGTGTTCCCACCATTTCAGATTTATATCGAAATCTAAATTTTTCCATTGGTTGCATCAAAATACTGATATAAGCTTCGTCACCAAGTACTGTTACTAACAAGTTAAAGGGGAAGATTTGATACATATTTTTCACATAAAATAACATTGATTAATAATTAGAACATGAAATTGTAAGATCAAATATTATTTTATAATATATCTATAGTTTAAATGCGTACGGATAGTTAGTAAATCCTAGCATTCAGACAAGACAAATTAAAATATATACCTGTATTTGTTAAATTAATGTAATCATCATTAAGATGCATAGGTGACGAAGACGTTGACATCGGTGATGTAACACTCATGTTTCCTTGAGATCCTAAACTACTAAACGGGCTTAGCATACTTGTGTTACCTATTGGCATTAAATCTGGAAATCAAAGACATATATTTGAAATGAAGAAATTACAAAGTCCTTTATATATATATATATATATATATATAAAGGAATTTGTAATTTCTTATATATGTTCTTATATATGATATATATACACACACACATATGCACACAATACTCTGTACTTTATGCAATGATAATCAATCCATGTCTTGTTTTGAGAATTAGACATATAATATACATTAAAATATTGGCAAATATGCAACATATTATACACTCTCTTTTCTGATTTTGTGTAATTTTATAAATTTGGGTATTTTTATGCCCAAAATAAAATATATTCTGAAAAAAAGTCCTGCTTTTTTTATTTTTTATTTTTGATATCAGTAAGTTAGAAAATGATAATTTAATAATAATTTAATGACAATTTAAATATGTATATTTATCATTTCTACTTTAATTAATTAAAAACACATTATTATCTTATATAGTTTAAATTATAGTAAAGAATAGTTTATGATTCAAAATTTATACCCTTATTGTTTTTATGTGGATTGTAATTTAAATATTAAAAAACTTCAAAATTAAAAAAAAAACGGAATTGGAGCAACAATTTTTCTTCTCAGAATATATTCTACGCATGAAACTACACAAATTTACAAAATTATAGAAAAATCAGAGCAGAAAACGTTACATTGCATATTTAACAAAATACCTTAAAATATTAAATAGATATACTCCCTAAAATGCTTACTCAAGAACATCTGATACGAACAATAGAGCTTATAATAATATCACTTCTATTATTTACCGGATAAACAAGATTCAATATTTTTCATTATATTATGATTCTCGTAACATGTCAACGCACATTCCCGCACATGTGTGCCTTAAAATCTAAACAAGAAAGAAAGGTATCACGCAACAATCACGCAAATGACCGACAAAAATTGTGTATCGACAAAAAGCAATATATATCAGCCGCGTGAGGCGCTTTTGGCTTTCTGGTTTCGAACACGCAGGACGAAAAGTGTGCGCGATACCGAGGCGCACGCTCGCATTACCATTAAAGTATAGATCCTCGTTATTTGTGATAACATTGTTCGTCAGCATTTGTATAGCCATGTTAACGTTGTCGTACGCGTCTGGCATTTTTGTCGTCCTCACCAGCTTAATAGAATGCGATTTAACGCAGCCCGAGGAATACGTCGCGACGCGGGAACTGTCACGCGAGTGTCGCCGAGGCTTATAGATCGATAGATCGACGATCAAGATTCAGCCAGTTTCCATTCACAACACCGTAGCGTAGCTCGAACTATTACTCACCGAACGCGCATAATCGACTGCCTTTAATTCCTGTATGCGTCAACGACATAACCTTGACGTTGCCTCCGGTTCTTCCCCGTGAAGATATAATATGTCAACCAATCGTGCGTCGGTGCGTGTATGGATTTTCCGCAGGGACGTGTCTACGCTGCGTGATCCCTCCCCCCGACGAAATGCGCGCGTCCAGAAATTTCCTGCGATCCCATTTTCGTCCTGTTGAATGCCTCAAACAGCTTGACTTTTTATTTACTAGCCTATTTTGATCATCAGCTTCACTTTTCGTATACCTGAAACCTTGTAGGAAAATATGAATGCCAGTTCCAAAAATGTGTAATTAAATATCACGTCGAGACTTACTAATGAGAATAATGCTAATTGTGTAATCATCACAGTATTCGTCCTTTTGTTCTACTCTGCTTTTCACTCCAAATACTCCACTTTCTGCGACATTTTATTTTAATTTCGAAGGTAGAGATATATTTTTTCAAACAGGAATTTTGCTGTTACTTCACATGCTAAATCCAAAATCAGTCTTATTTTTATTTCCATCGTTATGAGAAAACGATTTTGAATAAATAGACAATAATTAAAACATTATTTATATGGAAAAGAAAATCCAAGTAATCAACTTAATCCTGTTTGAAAACTCTTCATTTTTCAAGCTATAAAATATAAAATTTCTTGTAATTAATTTTGATTAAATCTAAACTCAATCTTTTAATACAATTAATTCAACAGATGAAATTCTAATTTTATAATATTATTTAAAATAATAAAAATTTTGCAAAAAATTACATATTTAAAAACTGAAAATGTTGTAATTTGTTGAGAGAAAAAGACGAAGAAATATAATATGTGAAAGTATTAATTACTGTGTGCATAATTAGATAAATATTGGAATATTTTTATAGATATTAAATATTTTACAAATTCATCGTTTATCTTGGTGAAAGTATGTTATGTAAATTTTCATGAGTGAACGAGTTGTTTATTTTCACACAACATATAATTATAGTTTTTGTAATTTTTATTTTATATTCTCGAGATATGCTACTTTTAGCATGCTACTTTTACCCATATAATTCTTTAAATTTTTTGTAAATTAAATTAAGATTAATTTAATGAATGAGTTTTCTGGAAATTTTATCTAGGAAATATATATACGTGTATATATGTGCGTATGTATATGTATACAAGATATCCTATACGCACACACACACACACATATATATATATATATATATATATTGAAATTTCAAAATTTTTTTAAAGTTTCTTTTATTATTAGTAAAGAATAAAAGATCAAAAAGAATGATTGTTGACGCCGTGCAACGTCGGAAAATTTTGAAATATAAAAACGCACGTAAGTTTATAGTCTGTTATAACATTCTCGATCTTAATAAGACATTTAGATATATTAAAACATTTTTAAATAATTTCTAATGTTAACTATAATTATAATAAATGTAGATAATACAGTATTGTGTCATTGAACTTAAATGTCTTTTTATCCTTTAAGAAGAAGTAATCCGGAGTTAATTCATTTATAATTTTCGTATTAAGTAATGCAATTCAATTATTCTTGGCTGTTGATTATGAATCCGTATGTTATACAAGATAACGATGTGATGAGTATCTGTGATATGACGCGTTCAGTATAGCTATTATGCAATGCTCTATTAACATACATGTGGAGGGGAGACTGATAGTAGAATATATATATATATATATCTCTGTAGCACGTTCAAGCTGTCCGTGAGTGTTAAATTCCATTTGAACATAACTCGTAGAAACGCTTTCTCTGCAGACATCCGATCGGTTCATACAATGTCAGCTAAAAACGAAAAGATCGTGATTATTGGGAGGTAAAATAATCGATTATGATTCAGTTTAATAATAAATTATAATAATTTATAATAATAAATTAAAAACAACTATATGTTATTGCTATTTCATTTAATGCATAATTTAATCCATAAATTATTTATTTTAATCATTTAATCCATAAATAATTGATTATTCACTTGAAATTGAATGTGTTGTTACAATTTAATTACCATTTATAATAGTTAAATATTTTAACATTTTAATATTATTTTTCATTTTTTATCAGCGTGTATAGTGTGTATTACTGATAAATATATAAACATCTTATTGAACTGGAATAATATTCTGTTAAAATCGATTCTCTCATAATTATATTGATTTAATATTTTTTAAAATTATTTAAAAATTATTGTGTTCAAAGTTCTTTAAATTCACTTGAATTCACTTAAAATTGTTTTTAAGTTCTCATTTCAATGGCAACAAGATCAACAATGCTGCACAGATCATTATTCATAAAAAAAAGCTTTTAGCTCGTATCATGACAATACAAAAGTTATGCATTAATAATCGTAAAATTGACCTTCACAGTTAATTCACAGGAACTGTTAGTTTAGAAAGGATAATCGTAATATTTTTATTAATTGTATAATTAGTCACAGTATTAATAAAAAAAAAAGCATTCATTAATACATTAGAAAGGCAACGATAACTTTTAAAATGAATATAAAGGAGCGAATTACATTTTATATATTTTAATTTTTGTAATTGTGCAATAAAATGTTATTAATGCATTCTATACTTTAGAATATCTTTATTTCACTTTCCATCCAGCATTACTACATTTTATCGTTTTTTTAATCAATTATCGCATCATTTTTTTTTTAAATCGTCAAATCATGATGCTGTACAAGAAGAGCGATAGAAATTCTGAAGTAATTACTCATTTTTGTAAGCTATACTCGTCCGAAGATAAGATAATACATGGAGAGGCTGTAAACAATGTGTCTTTGAATTATATTTGACACAAATGTACTTAATAATGACGCACTTGCGATCATCGTCCTGTGTTGATTTTTACCGATTTAATGAACAAATTAATATCAATCATAGACTTAAAATTGTGTATCACCAAAGTTTTTGTATTTTTTCGTAAGAGTATCATTTTATTTTTGTCTTAATATTTATTTTAGTGGCTTGATCGGGCGCAGTTGGGCGATGCTTTTTGCCAGTGTGGGATATCAAGTGACTATTTATGATATTGTGGAAGATCAAATTAAAAATGCATTGTTGGATATCGGTCAACAATTAAAACGTCTCGAGACTGCCGGTCTTCTGCGGGGCACATTGACAGCAGAAGAGCAAGTTAAATTGATAAAAGGTCCATATCGTATGTTTTTTTTCTTTCATGACTTATCATAACAATTATCGTTTCTTAAACGATTACGAAAACGATTACGAAATATGTAATGATAAATGTACAGAAAAGATCCAAAATAATATCGATTTCTCGTTATCAATATGATAGAATAGCATTTAGGACGGTTCCATTTTTTTTACGGAATTTTAAAAAAATTTGTTTGTAGGATCATCAAATTTGCCGGAGATTGTGAAAGGAGCAAAATTTATTCAAGAATGTGTGCCGGAAAATCTCTCATTGAAAATAAAACTTTATAATGACCTCGATAAGATCGTTGACGACAAAGTAATCTTGTCCTCTTCAACGTCTACATTTCGCCCATCTCTTTTCAGTGAGAAACTAAAGCATCGTGATCAGATTATAGTCTCTCATCCTGTACGTATTCTTTAACCACTTATGATATAGAAAACTGAAATGACATAGAATACTGATATAGAATATTGATACTACAGAAATTACCGATACTTATGATACCAATTCTTTCCATTAAATCTCTGTACTAAGTCCATTTTTATTAAAAATATGTCATTTCAATACCGATTATTTAGGATACTATTTTGGAATTGTTTATGATATTATTAATATAGGTGAATCCTCCTTACTATGTGCCACTCGTGGAAATAGTGCCAGCCCCGTGGACGCGTCCCGATATTCCTGAAAAAACGAAGGCCATCATGGCGGAAATCGGTCAAAAACCCGTTGTCTTTAGTAGGGAGATTGATGGTTTCGCACTCAATAGAATACAGTATGTAATGTAAATGCTTACTGTACAAAATTGTTTTTGAATTATTATAAAAATATCATTATTATTTCCTAAAACTTCGTATAAGAATCATACCTCTAAGAATCATATCGACAGATACGCAATCTTAAATGAAGCTTGGAGATTGGTAGCTGACGGTGTGCTGAGCGTAAAGGATATTGACGCAGTGATGAGCGAAGGTCTTGGAATGCGTTATGCTTTCCTTGGTGCTTTTGAGGCTGCACATCTAAATGCCGAAGGTAAGCTAGTCATCGTCCAGATGCGAGAAGAGGCGTCATGTCATATTACAAAACTTAAGCGAATTCTTCCAATACAATTCATTATGTAATTCATTATCTTGCAGGGATGAAGAAATATTGTGAAACGTATAACAAGTCCATCTATGACGTGAGTATGACTTTCGGACCGGTGCCTAAATTTGTGGGCGAGATGGCAGAAAAAATCAGCAATGAATTGAATGAAATGTGTCCACTTGACAAATTGCAAGAACGACGAGCGTGGCGAGACACTGCTTTAACGAAGTTGTCCATACTCAAGAAGGAATTAAATCAGAAACAATAAAATATTTATGAATAAACATATCTGAATATACATCAATTGAGTAATTGATGTATCAGTGTTGAAATCTTTTAAAACAATTCTGTGATAAAATTTTATCAAACTGACTATAAGAAATGCACTATTCCTATTGAAAATTAAATTGTACACATTAATGTACATATCATTGTTAAAATCAATACTTATATATTATTTGAAATTCGCGTTAAAATTATTCTTTTAATTATATATATATGAATATAAAAAATAAAAGTCATGTATGATTATATTTTATTTTATTTTATCTATATAACTACAGATTTTAACGCTTTCCTCCGACACGAGGTGCAGATTTTTGCGTCACCTTGGCGACTTTCTGTTTTGCCACTTGTTTTGCTTTTGGAGGAGCAACGGCCTTCTTCGTTGCTTTTGCAGCTCTTTTCTGTTCTTTTGCAGCTCTAAGAAAAAGAAATAGTTTAATGTTGTTAATGTTGTTTAATATCAATTAAATATTAGTATTATGTAATACTAAATAACATTAATATCAACTGTATGAATCCGCAAAAGCCAGACAGTGTAATTAGAGATACAATTCTGGGTGAAGCAACTCGTTTTTACTCTCTGACATTCTGAAATCTGATAAAACATAAGAGGCTTCATCAGAGGAACAGATGTCAAATATAAGAATTATCTTTAATTAAATTACATTTGATATTTTTCCTTTTTTATAAATTATTTTTATAATAAACAATTATTTAATATTTAATACCTTAATAGGGATAATTGAAGAAAAATATACATACTTGATTGCCTGTTCTCTCTGAGCTTTACGAATTTCTGGCTTCATGTTACGTTTCGCCAAGATATCTGTAAGAGAAGCACCTACGATGGCACGCTGGAACTTCTGCGTGCGCCTCGTCCTCTTCTTTGTTTGTTCCTCCTCCTGACCCTTCTTATGTTTACGTCTGAAAAACAAATCACATTTTCATCAATTTCAGAATTCAAGAAATTACATGTTGCTCCAAAGCATCTTTACCTGTATAAAACTGTCCATGTCACCTTCCTAGGATTTCGTCTCATCAAATGTGCGGATTCGCATTTTGAGTTAAGGAAAGTGAACGTCTAAAAAAACGAGACTAGTTATGCTAACATGTGTAACAATGACAAGTGACAAAATAGATATGAAATAAACACAATTTTTTCAAATGAAGAAAAAACCGTTAATTTTTCAGATGCGTGTCTCGCGGCAATTATGGGAGTGTAATTAATATCCATTTTGCAATGATACTCACTTTTCCGTCAACTTTGACCATGGTCTTCCCATGGCCTGGATAGATCTTGTACCCGCTGTACGCACACAGACCGATCCTGGAAATATCATGTATAGATTAATTATCGATATCATATCGATGCAATACTCCGCGTTTCCGTTGCGAGTATGACGAGATTGCATCGAACGCATCGGATGCATATTTCGCATGAAAAATCCTGACTTACTTCATCTTGATACGACGCAACAGAGCACGTTTCAATATAAATGGCCGACGAGCCGACGTATCGAACCCTCGTGCTTACGGCAAAAGACCCTATGACAGGGTCTAGTGATAACGTGTAATGGAAGATTTACACTGCATCGGCATGCAGTATGTCCAATAGAATACAGATATTTTCCATTTAGGGTGTGTTTAAAAATCACACCCAGAATGCATCCAGGTATTATTCTGCTCTTGTTTAACATTCGATTAAGAGAGAGCAGAAAGTATTCTCTTATTGAGTTCGCCATTTTCAGTACAACTTCCGCTATTATGCATATTTATTTTGTAATACATTTATTTATACTTTTTAACATTATGCACATTTATAATATTTATAATATTTATGCATAGACTTCATAAATTTATTCTAGAATAAAAATGTAAGAAATTTCATATAATATATAATATATGTGAATACATAATATATTTTCGTATGCAATGTACATACACAAATGAACTTCACACAGCCATATTCACACATACATATGCACGCATACATTATTATTTTCTATAGAAGCATATATGTATATGCTTCTATATATGTCTTTCTATATATATATATATATATATATATATATAGAATACACATAGCTTAGATATAATACATACAATATATATAACTTACATACAATATGTACAATGTAACTTACATACAATATATTTTTAAATTGCTTTAAATTTTATAAAATTAGTATTTATTTTACTAAGATTCATTTTTAATTATACTAATATTAAAATTTCTTTGAATTATGTAAAATAATTTTGAAATAGAAAATCTCAAACAATTCCAGTATCTAACAAACGATGTTAGGTAACATTTTCAGTCTTCCAGGTATATTCGATTCGATTTTTTGCAAAATATATTTTGTTTGTAACATCCACTTTAGAGAAAAATAAACTCTCCATAATTTCAATATAAACATGCTTCTATAAATAGTATTATGAGATAGTTAATTATTTTAGAATACTTGAATACGTAAAATACTAATCCTATTAATATGATTTGAATACATTCAATTGTATTTCTATATTTATATTCTATTTATAATCCATTAATACAAAAAAATTATTATCTTTGGTTGTATTATTAAATACATGAATTTGGCTTGTTTTATATTATTGGCCTGCATTATGACTATTTTTATTGCGATTACGTAGTAACGATGCATCCGAAAGAGAATAAGTCCCTGGTTCGAATATCGGTGGATATTCTAAACTAGTATAATCAGGTGGTGGAGATGTTGGTGGTGGTATGTATGGAAATATCGGAGGAATCAAATTTCTATTAGAATTTGGAGAGTTCTTATAATTGGATAAATATCCAGTGCCATGCTGAAAAAAATTATTAAATTATTTCGCTATTATTTTTTTCTTCCACATTCTAAATTTGGCTATTGTTTTTTAGCTTCTATTTTTCTTTTCTTCATAAGTATATTGGTCTTCTTTGTATGTATATTTTCTTGTACAATTATATTATGAACTTATTATTTTATCATACAACCATTGCCTAATCTTTGTTCTCTGTCTCCTCATTTCCTTGACTATTTTTCTTTATTTTGTTTTTTTCCTATTCCTATCTATCATCTACTTATTCTTTTTTTTTAAAGAAGCATTCTTTATCCTTTTTCTTAATCTTTCGTTTTTCGTTTTTAGATATATTTATTTTTTATCATTTTCTTGTATTGCTTACTATTTGAAATTCATTATATAGGCTATTTATGCATTGATTGAGAAAGTAAAAATTCAATACATACTTTTGATATGTTAAAGGATGTTGATGTATCCGGATTCAGATCATTAATTGAATCGAAGGTTTGATTCAACATCTGGGGAGAACTGCTATTGACAAAACTGTGAGACTGTCTGATTTCACCACTATCGGGACTTTGACTATTGGAACGAGTAGACAATCGATGTTGCGACTGATTTAAGCAACATTTGTCCCGAAATAGCATTCTATGCAACCGCGGTGAACCTGTTTCTATAAAATGATAAAATTCAAAAACTATCAAAATTATCATCAAAACAAATCTTATATTTCATATATTTAATGTATTAATATTTATAAAAGGCATTTAATGTAAGTTACTTGCCTAACGCAGTTTTCTGGGTATCCTTAGAAAGATCCAAGGTACAAGATTTCTGTTGTTTAGTACCAAATAAATTTTTCAGACGACTTGTTTTCTGTATATAATCGCTTTTATCTAAATGCATTTCGAATGCAGCACGCATTCCTTCTTGCTCAAAAGGTGACGTTGATATGGGTGGTGGTTGATACTGTGCAGCATTCTTCAGACGATTTTTATCATAGTTTGAACCTTTTTTGTCGCCACGTCTTAGCGAATCCAACCATTTATCGGAAGAATTATAATCGTGACGATTAAAACTTCCTTTTCGATTAATTGAGACATCTTTCTTTATGCATTGCTGCATCTCAGACGCTGTATTCGCAAGGTCGCTAGTGGATCCAGAATAGCCTATAAGCGAAAAAGTCAAGATAGATTTAATTTCAAATAATTTCACAACGTCCAATTAATAGGACTAAAATGTTATGATTTCATCGATGCATTAAGATTATCATCACTTTTAACAAGTTTGTTTTTTTTGTATCGCGTGAAATCCTCTATCATACCAATATTTCTCGATGAAAGACAATCATGCATCTTGTAGTTTTCGTGATTGGAGAACTGTATATGGATATTATGTTCTGCACTTTGATTTGGAGAATTTTGTTCATTTGGATTTATCACATTTTTCCTATGAAACGAATCACTATGTCTTGGTTCCTGAACATTCATAAACTTCTGTATTCTTCTCTTTTGTGAAATTGATGAATCCTTTTTCTGTCTTCCGGCTGTCAAATACCTATCATAAGATTTATCATTTATACAATTTCCTTCGTTCTCAGATCCGATACTGGCAAAATTATCCTTGCTGAATTCACGAGGCATGTGCATATGTGCACTTGTGTTCTTTGAGATGGCATACGTAATATTGTTGTTTGGTATTTTATCACCGGTCTTGCTATAAATATCGCCAACATCGTTTGAAATTGTGTTACTTAATTGTTTGATTTGCTCGCTATATGTAGCATTATCATTCAAGTTCTTATGCACGTGATCATTGAGCGAAGGCGTTGCGCGCGGAGATCTATTTGTAGTATTTTGTAATTCCTCATCTTGTTGCGATGTCATGTATTCTTGTGTGATAAAACTTTGGAGATTATCTGGTCTTTTACTATGACTACTTATAGCTCTATATATAACAATGAATAGTATATAAGTATATAGTATAGAGAATTCTTTTCCTACAATATATAATGTAAAAAATATGAACACATGAAAATTACCTATCTATAGTATATCGGTAATCACTCATATCCGGATTGTTGGATATATCTGTAGCATTCTGAGAAATATTCAATCCATAGAATGTACTACCCGCAATTGTCATTTGTACATCTGGAGAATTTGAATTGTAATTCTCTTTTCTGCAAAATATTTAATTATGTTTAAAAATTAATTCTCAAAATATCGATACAAAACATATTTAATGTCATATGTACTTACTTATTCGGTATTGACATAGGAAGTACTCGTCTGTAACTTCTAAATTGCGCCGTTGGAACAGGTATATTCTGATTTCTGGCACTAAGAAATTTTAAGTATTTTCGATCCAAGCTTGCACCACTAATTTCATGATCTTTAAAGGATTCAACATCCTTGCGTACTGTCTTTTTTAAACCAAACGATTTCTCCACATTTGATTTAGAAGATTCCGGTGTATATTTCAGTTTACTTTTCTGATTTTCGCTATCGCTTTCGTCGGTTTCACTGAAAAATCCGATGCTTTGATTGTGAGCGTCTGCACCTAAAGTGCCTTTACTAACTGCATCTAGCCATAAGATCAAACAGTCTTCGGTATCAGTAGCAAAATAAAACACTGTCCCTGTATGGTACACTTTAAAAGAATGCTTCCTTGATTTTATTTCGGTAGCCGGTGACACAGTGAAACCCGTTAGTATAATCAAGCAGTCAGCTTTCGTACTATCATGTGTTTTAAATCTAGTCATAAAAATAAAATGTTGTATATTTATGTTGTAATTTATTTATTATAATGTTTCATAAATTTCATAAAATTTTACCTGTACAAAGATGAATCCTTTAATACAAACCAGGCCTTTGCCCATGCGCCACCTGCTCCTCTACTACGATATGTTAACCATCCTTCTAAATCACCAGTACCAACGTCTCTTACGGATACAG